TATCTTGTAATGGAATTGGCTTACCATTTTATCTTTGGATTGTTTCATTTGTAATCGACTCCATTGGACTGTACTTCCACATCTCTGCTTGTTGCCTTATTGATTCGCTGTAATGTAATACACCTCTGTAATGCTCTGTCACTAAATCATACAGGAATATATGAGACTGTGTTTCAGATATTAACACTGACGGCCACTTGAAGAGAAGCTCTCAATGAGGATGATTGATTTATGGGTAGCACCAGTCTTTATCATTGTCATAAACCGTGGTGCTCCTCAACCATCACAAAAATCACATTAAAAACTACTTAAGTCTCATCAAATGCTCTTCATGGGATTGCAAATAATGCAATGAGCCTATAAATCGCTGTCTGGTTTTAATTAACATTAATGATAAAATATGTCACTTGCAGTATATATACATGGCAGTATATAAACAGTACACTATACAAACACCCTACTATTTAAAAAATAAACTGTATGCATTTTAGGAGGGAAATTATTGTTTTGCATTGCGCATCAAATTTCGTGTTAAAATCTCTGAATCTTTGGAAGTCTGATTAAATAATGAGCCAAGAATGCGTATACACTAGTCAACATTTGAAGTGGATCAAAACCTTTTATCAAAGTTGTCCTAAAACTAAAACGCGTTCTTGTCTTAGGACAACTTTGATGAACTTTTTTTGAGCCACTTCAAATGTTGACTACTGTACTCATTTATGCATATAAAGATATGGCAGAAATAGTAAGAGTTGTATGGTTGGATTCAAAAGTTTGTGTCAGCAAGTTTATAACATGTTTTTGAAATAAGTCTCTTATGCTCACCAAGGCTCCATTCATTTAATCAAAACAGTAAAAAAAAAAGTGATATTGTGAAATATCATTATAATAACTGTTTTATAAGATTTTAAAATGTAATTTTGTTTTCAGGAATCATTCTAATATGCTGATTTGATTACTTTGATAAAGAATATCTCTTTGGTTTTGAGACTTTAGTCTTTGCAACTTCAGGGATCTTATCTATGCACAATCAGCTTGTAACACTCCAAAGAGAAAGGAAAACTTGAAATCGCATCATATGACCCCTTTAATCAAAGTCAGTACTTTCTTTCCACCAGAGCCTTAAAAACCCATTTTTTGATACGCTAAAACACACTTTAGGCCTACTAACCCCGGTGTCCTCTTCCTGCCGGCCTGCGGGACTTTCTCCAGCATGTGCGGGCACTTCGCCAGTTCTCCCCGGGCACTGCAGTGCACCCGTATGCAGGCACAAGCTAGCTCTGTGCTCCCTGAGAGAATCCCTATCAGACACAGAGAGACGCTCTTTATGTCTTAATGGAGGACAAATCTGTTAGCGCAAGGCCGGTGTGCCTGCGTGAGCTCTTCACTGCTGTCACCCGAGCGCAAATGAAATGAATGGAGAGACTTTTAGAGAGGCGCTGAGCTGGCAGACGCTAGATGTGGAGATGTTATTGACTGTAGAAGTGCATTTAGATGAATAGTATAAAGAGGAAGAAGCCATTTCAAGTCCATCAGGCATTTTTTTGTGAAATGATTTAAGTAATTTGTACAATATTACTAGTCTACATTTCTACCTGCATTTATTTAATCAAAAATACTTTAAGAACAGTAATATTGTGAAATATATTTACAATTTAAAAGAACCGTTTTCTATTGTAATACAATTTAAAATGTAAATTATTATTGTGATGCAAAGCTGAATTTTCAGAATCAGTACTCCAGTCTTCAGTGGCACATGATCCTTCAGAAATCATTCTAATATGCTGATTTGATGCTCAAGAAACATTTCTTATTATTATTTATGTTGAAAAGAGTTGTGCTGCTTAATATTTGGGTGGAAACGGTTTACTTTTTTTCAGGATTGTTTAGAAAATAGAAAGCTCAAAAGACCAGCATTTATTTGAAATAGTCATCTTTTGTTAATTATAAATGTCTTCACTGTCACTTTTGATCAATTTAATCCCTGATCCCAAACTTCTAAAGTAATGCTCACCCTCATGTCACCCCCAAACCTCCAGTATGACCTTTTATTTCTGTGAAACACAAAAGGAGAAGTGTATATAAAGATACACTTAGGGGTCAAAAAAGCCTCTGACGTTCAGCCAATTGCATTTAATATAAATGTAAACTATAATATGCTTCATTTACTTGCAAATAACATGCAATTAAGCGTTCGAAAACATTAGTTTGCATTACAATAAGCACCCCTTTTAAAAGTATGCTGAAGTATATTTGTTTTTCACAAGGGTGTCCCTTTAAAATACAGACCTTTAGCATATGTAATAATGTTATGAATGATTGATTGTCTAAATGTAAACTGAATCGAGCCTATTCTTTACAAAAAGGCTGCTTTGTATTGTTCAGCATCCCTGGATAAAGCAGGCCAGCCATCGCTGAGATCTCACTAGTGGAGGATTCTTTGGACTGTACTTTGGCATTTTCCCAAACTTCATGAAAGCCACTCCAGCTGTTCGCAGGATTAAGAAATTCAAAATAAGGGTCATTTACTGTCTGTGTCCTTTTTTTCCCCTGAATGTCCTAAAGCAACAAGCAAAGGAAATAACATAAGTAACACCAGAGTAATACAGTGCTAATGCAGAGGTACAAGTGCAAACTTGTATTTTGTACAACAAAAGTTAAGAGTGTGTTTTTTTGAGGATCGCAGTGGAGTTCAGGAGTTTGTTCCACCACCAAGGAATGTATGATACAGTATATACTAAATGTTTAAGGTGGAATTCACCACTTTTAGTCCATTAAGTGGCATTTCACCCTCTCTCTGGTATTCAGAATTAGGATGCTTATCCTACTGCACGTTTAAGACTTTGAATGCAAAATGATCTCATTAACTGAATAAGAAAAAGTGTATACACTGGTAACTGTATGGTACATCAAACTCTAATCCCCCCCCCAAAAAAAGTAAAAAACAAGTAAAATCCTGTTTTCCATAAAACATAGATCCTAAAAGTACAATATTAAACAGCAAAAAGTAAGATTTTGACCACTATTAAGGATAGTTCACCCAAAAATGAAAATTCTGTCATCATTTATTCACCCTCATGTTGTTCCAAACCTATGAGTTTTTTTATTCGGCTGAACACAAAAGAAGATATTTTGAAGAATGTTGGTAACCAAACAGCCATTGACTTTCATAGTATTTTTTTTTCCACACTATGGCATTCTTCAGAATATCTTATTTTGTGTTCAACAGGAGAAGAAAAAAATCAAACAGGTTTGTAACGTGAGGAAGAATAAATGACCATTTTCATTTTTGAGTGGACTATCCCTTTAAGGGATTTTTCTCCATAATGTGCCAATATTAGAAACATGCCTCCTTTTTCATTCTTACAGTGTTAGAGTCACCAGTTCTGTCTCCAAACACTCTCAGCCAGATGACGGTGAACCTTTGCTCTATAAACTGTATCAGCGCTGTAACTGCATCTCACTGTGTGTTCATTGTGAAGCGTGCGAGCTCAGATTGTCTGAATAAGCCTTGAGCACAGTGTTTCCAGGCAAACCCTGAATGCCAGTCGGAGGGTTGCCATGGCAACAGAGTCGGGCCAACTGCACTTTGGAATGCCTGAAGACCCTGAACACTTCAGCTGTGCTGAACATCTTATCTGGTAACCAATGTCATTCTTCTGTGCATTGATATGAGAATCTCTCATGACCACTTTCCCTGAAAAATGACACGTCATATAACAAAATAAATAACAAATTAGATCTCTTTAATATCTCGATAGATTCTCTGTCAACAAAGAGATGAATTAGCAAGCAAAAGGAGACTTTGCTTTGAGAAAAACAACCCAGTAAGCTTAAATGTCTCCTCTAGAAATTTCTAGAACATCTCAATGTCACGCACTGTACTCCGTTTTCTCTCGTCTACTTTATTTAATTGAAACCCCTGAGAAGAGTTATGCAAAAGAAAGTTGTGTCAGTAAGACATTTGCATTTGCTTCCTTTAGTTTGATTTTAATGATTTTTCGACGTTTAAATAAAACAAAGATTATTGGAGTACATTTTACAAGAAAATACAATTTCAGTCAACTTCAAAATTTCACATTTAATGTGTAACCTGTCGCTTCTTAGTAATTATTTGTGAAAATTAACTAGCAATTTCTGAGTGAAAATTGTTTCAAGTCCTACACCAATTTTTTCAGTGATGTTGGGTATTTAAAAAAAAGAAAGAAATGTTAAGTATTCTAATAAAGATCTTTATTCAGTTTTAAATAGGCCAACAAACTGTAAAAATACATACAGGTCAATAAAATGACAAATCAGCTCCTTGTGTGCATTTCAGCCTCTTGGGATACGGTTGTAAATTGTCCTCAAAACAATATGGAACAGATGGATGACTTGTAGGTGTGAAAAAAAAAAAAAGTACTTTTGTTGTCGGTAGGTTTTTTTCTTTTTCCAGATTGGTTGATCCTGAGAGTCAGTCGGTATGAGATCAAATTCAAATCAGAGACGGATGCCAGCATTCACCAGCCTCCAGGAAGCGTAAAAGGAAAGTTTCAATCATGATATTACAACGTAGGACGTGCTTTCAATTCATGGAGCGATAATGCAAAAGAGACGGTGCAAAAAAAAATCATTCAATAGTCCAGAAAGTCACCCTGCATCCCAAATAAAACAACAAATGCTTCAGTGATTAAATAAGATTGACTTAGGACAACACAGGAATATCAGCATTGCTTAAAATAAACTCAGCTTAACAGAAAAGATAACACCCACTCGTCAACATACCCGATTAAGTCTGACTATATTGATTTTCTGACAAGCTGCAATATCTTGGAACAAAGAAATACATAATTTCAATAATTAAAGTGACACTATCAGTTAAATAACGCAGATTTTAAGCACATTATAGAATTCAGGCCTCAGCAGTTTGCATTTTTACATTGCAAAATGATTTTAATATCAACTTATCATCCTTTATTTTTTTTTGCTTAGGGCTTCTTAAAGAGATAATTCAACCAAAAATGAAAATTCTGTCATTTACTTAACCTCATTTGTTCCAAACCTGTATTTTGAAGAATGTTGATTTGGTGACAATTGACTTCCATTTCTCAAAACATCTTATGTTTCAAAGAAGAAAGTAAGTCATACAGGTTTGGAATGACAGGAGGGTGAGTAAATGAAGATAGAATTGTCATTTTTTGGGTGAACTTTCCCTTTAACGTAATTACTACTCAAATGAAGGGTGAACTCAAACCGTGCCCCCAAAGTTGTAATGTTTTATTGCTGGGCTGCTCAGATGTGCTTGAAGGCCAAAAAAGTGAACGTGGGTCACTCTAAGAAAATTAAAAAAATCAGTAACAATCAGCGTGATTCAGCACAAAGCCTCATTCAAAGAATCACTCCTCAATTCAGTCAGGCTCGTTTTTTTTTTTTTTGTCCTTTTTGAAGTAACTTTCACAGAGCTATCTGAAAGCACAAAGCAAAGAAATAATAAAAGAACAGACTGGAGAAAAGCCTGAAGGCCAGCACAATTATGACACGGAGGGAAAACAACATAATTCTTATTTAAAAAAAAACAAAAAAAAACAACGAAATCTCATTTAAGTCCTTTAAGGAAACAAAAATGGCCATCTGAGTGAGTGTAAATGCAGGGCGCATGCCTTAACGTTTCCTCTTTCGGGGTGATGCTGATGAAGCCGAGAAAGAAGATGGTAATGGGAATGTTGTCATGATTCCTCGTTTCCGGAGTCATCCTCGTCATAGCAACAGTCCTCGCCATCCTCATCCTCCAAGTCCTCATCATCATAGTAATCGTCATATAACAGGTCGGACCCCTCGTCTGGTGCAGGGGCGCGTGTGCGAATGCAATACTCCGCCAGGGTGGTGGGGACTTTTACTCCGTCCCGTTCTGCCTCGGCTTTAGTGGCCAGAACCTGTTTTCTGTAAGACACACAAACACATGCAATGGAATATTTGGCTTTCAAATCTTCAGGCTAGACTTCAATTGTAAATACATTAACGTTAACATGTTTTCCATTTGCTTTTACTGCTATTACAGTTTGTGGTAATCCATGCCATGCCACAGATTCTGCCCAAAGACATTAACTTTGCTCACAATGCAGATTTACACAGCTGAAATATTAACCATGTAGCTTCCATAAGACCCATCTGTCTCAGGCAGTGGGACATATTGACATTTTATGTTATATTAGTTCTTCATATGAATTGTTGCCCTGAGGTTTCAGGCTCAGAAATAAACAAGTCAAGTCAAATTTTCCAACTCAGATGGTTGAAAACATGAATTGCAACATGCAATAGACTGCCAAGAGGAGATGAACAGTCACTCGTGTTTCAGTGACTCATTCAACCACAGGAGGGCACCGCTGATCCAGAAAATCCACTAGCTGTTGCTTTTCACCAGGCCTTCTGATAGAGCCATGAAAACGTAACCAGCATTAAACAAATAAACATTGAGCACAGCTGAACTCTTAAAGGAGTCATATTCTGTATTTTTGCACAATCATTAATAGGGATGGAACGATTACCGGTTTCACGATAAAATGCCCTGACGGTTAGTATTATCGTTTAAAATTTAATTATTAATATTACCTAATGATTTCTGCGTATTCCCGGTCTTTTCCTTTACTGTCTCTCCATTTGCGGTACATGACGGAGGCGTCCACGTTGGCTGGAGAAAACGTGTTGGGTTCGTTCAGTAGAGAGATGACACTCAACAGTATAGTTCTGAAACACACAAACAGACACTCGATGTTATAATGCCATTACCTTAAAGCTCATCAGTTGCAAAGCTGCTTTGTGTTGCATTTTCCTTAAGATTCCAAGAGATTTTACACAAGAGGATCAGTCTTTATCTATTGCTTACAGCTACACCGATGCACTCACATTTGCAGTAGGGGCGTACAGTATTTTCAGTGACCAATTTGGCAAGAAAACAACAGTGTTCACTTGGAAAGTAACTTATTTTGAAGTACTGTTTGCATAATCATTCTTATAGTCATTGAGTGTCAAAGTGTTTTGAACTTAGAAAATAAATGATGTAGTCCAAAATACATTTTCAACAATTTAGAGTGAAACCTGTATAATTAAAAATAACAGCAACAACAACGATCATTATTATTATTATTATTATATTAATCGTGCTATAATTATCATTTAGTGTTATGATATACAATTAATTTGAATATTCATGTGATATAATTATTTTAGTTATTAATAGGTCAAAACCAGAAATAAAATAGCTGGTTCTACACATATTCTACACATACCATAGCTGGTTCTACAAATATATATATATATATTTTTTTTTTTTTTTTTTTTTTTTTTTAAAAAAGTACAATGGCAAGGTTGAGCTGAGCTCACATACTACTCACACTTTGAGGATCACAGTATGAGGATTGTGTGATGTCACTGATCATCGCATGATCTCACATGTTAACTGGGAAACATACCTGACAATAAAGCTAATTCTGATTGTGATCTCCTGATCTCAACCACATTGAGCATACATTTCACTTGCTGAACACAAAACTAAAGGCAGAAAGACCCACAAACAAACAACAACTGGAGTCAGCTGCAGTAAAGGCCTGGCAAAGCATCACAAAGGAGGAAACCCAGTCTCTGGTGATATCCAGACTTCCAGACTTATGACAATCATTGCTTGCAAATGATTCTCAACAAAATATTAAAAATGAACATTTTATGTATGATTGTATTTATTTGTCCAATTACATTTGAGCCCCTGAAAATGG